TTGTACATTAAATTTTTGTTTAACGTTATTAATAAAAATGTTGTTCAATTAGCATGTTTTTGTGTTTTGCTTTGGTACCGAAATTGGTACCGAGAACCGTGGATTTTCACTGGTATCGGTACCGAATACTGACATTTTGGTACCGTGACAACACTATTTGTAACATTATATTATATTTGTGATATTTATATATTTTGTAACCTAATAAATGTCTTTACTATCACTTCACATTAATGCATTCTTGCTGAATAAAAGTATTAATTTCTTTCAATAATATGAAAGATAATCTTGTGTTTTATACCGCTGCCAGACTACCTGTCCACCTGCACTGACAAAAGATTGCTTCAACATGCCAAGAGCAGATATAGGGAGGAGAGAGAATAGTTAAGGAAATCCGTCCATACCTTGACTGCCCCACTGTTCGCTTCGATGTAGATAACATCACCGACCTCCACTCTCTCCTTCTGCAGACTTTCATAGATACTGGGATCCAGCTGCATAAGCATAACAAACGCTATGAGATATAACTTCAAACGGACAAAAAAATCGGCTTCGATCCAGCTCCTTATCTTTGAAATATAAGTATGCAAGAAAAGCGCTTTCACTTCCTTACCTTCAACTGTTTGGTGCCTTTTGCTGTCTTCAAACCAATAATGACATGACTGATAGTTTTTCCATAGCCCCCCATTGGGTTCTCCGTCTCACAAGGAGTCAGTTCAGTGACCTCTCCCTCATACACCTCCTTAGTCTCCTTGATACGCAGACCTGCACAATCAAAAAATATTAATTTTAATAATTTAATAATTAATAATAATAATTATTATAATTAATTAATAAATATTCATATAATTAATTATTAAGTATTTTAGGTACAAGAATGAACGGAACATATAAACAATGCTAACATATTAAATACTAGTGGATCTACTTATACGCTTTTAAAAATCTACAGAATTCATTATATATTATTAAATACCAGTGAATCTATTCACCCGTGTGTGTTCAATTGCCAATGCCAGTGTATTTCTCTGTCAGCACTGTAATAATGTGTGCATGCATATCTCACTTGATCACACAGTCCACTCCACACAGTTTTGAGTCTAATGACTAATATCAAGCTACAGTGTGTGTGCATGGGGAATTATTTACTAACTAGTAGCACGACAAGTTGAAATGTATTTGAATGTGTTTTTCACCATTTTTACCTTCATTATAAAAAGCGTGCATCTCTTAAAAGAAATTAATAAACGTTAACTATTATAATAGCATTTTTACAGGTTATGGTGCACAGATATGGGTTCTTTCCATGAGAGCTCACCTATGGCTCTTCTGAAGTTCTCCATCAGCACTTCAGTCTTTTTGATTTCTGATGAATACACTTCACTGCCCACCATAGGACAGAATGGCACTTTATTTCCCAATTCCTGTGCCATGGCTAATGCTAGAGCAGTCTGCAGGGTACAGAAATACAATTATCAAACCATAAACACTCTCTGAAACTATTGACAATGACTGTTAAAATAAAGGTTGTCAGTCCTTACCTTGCCTGTTCCAGGTGGTCCGGCCAGTAAAATGGCTCTGCCAGCCATCTTTTTGGAACGAATCAGCTCTACAATGATACCACAAGCCTAATAAATAGGTAAGAATAAA